GCGGGGGCCAAAGCCGATCCTGAAGCGGCTGTTCCGCGTGTACGCCCACATCTACCACCAGCACTTCGACTCGGTCATGCGGCTGCAGGAGGAGGCCCACCTCAACACCTCCTTCAAGCACTTTATCTTCTTCGTGCAGGTGAGTCGTGACACGCTGGCCGGCCGCCTGCCTCGGGGCTTCCTCGTTTCCCGTTTTGCTTTTCAAGGGAGGTGGATTCCCAGCGCCTCCCCCCTCGCTCTTCAAAGATCCGCAGCTGTGGTGTGCGCTGGAAGATACGCTCGGCTCCCGCCCTCCGCACCGTGCAAACCATGAGGCGTTGGGGGTTTGTGGTGTTGGGTTGTCTTTGTTTTTTTCCCCAGGAAGTGTGGCCGAATTGGCTGTAAACGCTTGACTTTCCAGGTTTTAGCTGTCAGCCTGTGGCAGAAGAAACCAGGCTCGGAGGAGAACGTGGAGGTTTTGTAGCTCAAGACTCGACTCGGAAGCAGCAGCCGCACCTTTTCTTTCCCTTGCCAGTATTTTAACCCGTTACTCCTCTTCCACACCGCAGAAAAGGTTTTGTTGTCCCGAAACGCTTCAGTTTCCCCGCAGAGGAACGGGGAGAGGCGGCTGCTGCGGGATCGCCTGTGCGGTGGTTCGCTCGGGAGCTGGCCCGCATCGACACGGCGACTTCCCAGCGCGCGTACGGTGGCCGGACGCGTTTTCCAGCAGCTCTTGGAGAGGCGCCTTCAGTTTTTGTGGTATTTTGTTGTGTTTTATTTTTTTTCCCCAACGCTTCAGTTTCCCCGCAGAGGAACGGGGAGAGGCGGCTGCTGCGGGATCGCCTGTGCGGTGGTTCGCTCGGGAGCTGGCCCGCATCGACACGGCGACTTCCCAGCGCGCGTACGGTGGCCGGACGCGTTTTCCAGCAGCTCTTGGAGAGGCGCCTTCAGTTTTTGTGGTATTTTGTTGTGTTTTATTTTTTTTCCCCACAGGAGTTCAACTTGATCGACAGGCGGGAGTTGGCTCCTCTGCAGGAGCTGATTGAGAAGCTGGGCTCCAAGGACAGATAAACTTGCCCCGGGAGGACCCTTTCAGCTGCTCCTTTCCGCTTCGTACGCCAGCCACTTCCACGCTTCGCCTTCAGCGGTGCAAGCCCCGAGGAGCCAGACGGCGCTCAGACCAGACTCAGCGGCCAAGCATCGCTTCTCCTGCGCGGCAGCAGCAGCAGCG